GTGTACCTCATTTCAACATAAACGAGTATCCATTAATTTCCTTCTTACAAAGTTACAACCATTCTGTTACTCTTAATAAAAAAACAAAAGGAATAAAGTTAGATCTCTTTTCATAAAATTAAAATAACGGAAAGAAGAATAAACGACAATATAAAATAGTTAAAGAAAGACCACAATACATAATATATTATTCAGCTCCCCTAGCACCCTCCTCGTATAGTGTAGGAGTGGGGATACTGCAACACCGTCACACTGGGCCAATGGCGTGCACGGTGCACTGTACAAGCAAAAGATGTGTTAGCACATGGCTCCAAATTTCAGTCACATGCATGCTTGCCCTCCAACCCCATCATCTTTCTGACGACAAATTAATTATCAATTAATATATATATATATATATATATATATATATATATATATATATATATATATATATAATATTTCTGCAGTTACTATATATAAGTTATCTATATTTATTTTTAAAACGGTGTTGTTTTAGAATTGAAAAATTAAATAATTATCATTATAAAGACAATAATAACTCTGAAATAAATTAAAATTACAAAAACACAATGATTAATGTTTCAAAACAACGCGTATTCTACAAAAAAAAAAATGAATTCTAAGAGAAAAAAAATTAAAACCAGTATCAACTTTAGGAGGGGTTTAAAATCTTAATTCTGAACCTGTTCTGAATCAAATTAATTGCGAAACAATGAACCGATTGAAATATTTTAAAAAAAAAATTAAAACCATTCGTTTCTGAAAAGGCAAGAATAAGTATTTGGGTTTATCCCTTATAGTCAATGGAATCAATCACCCTCTTGACCATACCACTGCAAGCAACCCTAACCACGCAATGTGAGAGTTGAAGAGATAAGCGTATGTGTGAATTATGTGAAAGGATTTGGTCATTATCCTTTGAAATTATTTATTTGATTCTTTACATTAGATGATGTTATTATGTGAGAAAAATATAATATAAAATAATTAATTGAGTTTCACCTATTACTTTAAGTTTTTGGATTAAGATGATTTTTTTTAGAGAAAAGTTCACTAATATGTTTGTGATTTACTTCAGAATTATCTATGTTTCTTTAATTTATTTATCTTTATATATGTCCATGTAGTTTGTAAAAAAGGTATGTTTTTTATCACATATATCCCCATGGTTTTTTACTTTTTACAAACTACAGGGACATATGTGATAAAAAAACCTCAAGTGCATAGGTGATTCTAAAGCAAACTACAAGAGCATTGATGAACTTTTTCCTCTTTTTTATATAAAAGACTTGTGTATTGTTTATCTTTTAAATCCAATAAACTCTCATATAAAAGACGTATTAAAGAAATATAATATAGAATCGAGAATTTAAAAATAATAAATATATACATAATATAGTATGCTAAGTTGTTAATTTCTATTCAAATCTTAAAAGTTTTTATGCATTGGAAAAATAATCATTTATCTGTTGATTTGCAATACCAATACCCGCTTTGGTTTGCCGAAAGTGGAACAGGTAGCACATCTGAAAGGATCAACGTGCTAACCCAAAAAGATTGAGCTCTTTACTTTAGCTGCAATAAGTCTAACCTTACCTAAAAAGTAAAAGATAAGAGAGGAGCCTGTGGTAGAAGAAGGATGATGCTTATCATAATTGGTATTGATGATGCAAGTGGTTATTCTTTATCCCCAAATATTTGTTTTCTCATTCTATCATTTAATGAAACACTTGGAATCAACGAGCATGTGACAACATCCTTCCTGTCCAACAAGAAACGGCAAGTCTAGAAAATCTTATACTCATATGGCCCTTCCCTATTGGGAATGTTTTTTCTTACCCTTTGTGGTATCCCACCTCCTATCATCATTAAAAGTGCAATATATAGTTGCTCTGAAGATCTGGTGTGATTAGGTATATGGCCTTAGAATTTGTACATCATGCCGGTGTGGCGTGAAACAGCCTATATATGTTCCGCGTGATCAAAATATATACATTAATAATTATCATAGGGGTGCCATTAGGATTTCATTTGGCACCCTATGATTGGTTTAACTTCCTCATCAAATCACGAGGTTATGTTAATTATGGGATGTGTGTGTGTCCATAGTAAAACAGATAGATCATAGATGGTATATTGATTCCGCAGCTGGACAAATCAAAGTGGTTAATTAAATATACGTTTAACTATAAAGTTAGAAACGGAATATATCCCCAAGATGAGTTCTCTTAATAATCTTTTTAATTGTTTAAATAAGCAAATACTAAATATTTTTGGATTCTAAAGTACTAATAATTTAATCTGGTTCGAGTACTATATATGTAATTTACATCAGAGACAATTCTCCTAATGTTAATTACATCATTTTTAAATATTCAAACTCAAGAACTCTAATTAAAGAACATATTATCTTTATTGAAACGACGGTGTGTAAAACTAGCTAGGGGATAAAAAAGAAGAATTGGTTAATATTGATTTCACAACTAATTAAAGGCATGAGGCTCAAACTCAACCAACGCACTCGCAGCGATTGGTTGGAAGTTTGACTTCAATAAGTTTACTTTGCATCGATAATACTTTAAATTAATATAAAGCATAAAGCAAGTACACTTTAAACTGCTTTAGCCGCCGCATTAGCTCAATTCCCCCTTCCCGCTTTAATATATTAAATAAAGGGAACCTGCCATTCTAGTTCCATCTTCCATGTGTTGGGCTTCAATTCAATCTACCTGCAGCATATTATGCGTAATAACAACTATGAATATTCCTTCAATACGGACATCAATGATGCTGCCCTAGTTAGTTCTTGACATGATAATTCAGAGCAAGAACCTCTCTATCTTATTGACTTTCTGTCGTTTAAATGAATCATGATATAATATGAAGCCCGCTTGAGAAGTCTTTACTATGAAAAAAGCTCACTTGAGAAATCTTTGGGAGGTGTTTGGTTAAAGAGAAAATTTTTGAATACTAGAAAAATGTAATTATTAAAAAATGGTTGAAAAGTGAGTTTGGTAGGAAAATGTAAAAAAAATTGTTTTGTTGAAAAAAAATTTACCCGAAAAATTAGATAAATTTTATAAAGTCTATATTTGGTTTGAAGTAAAATATTGATGGAAAAATAAGTTACAATTACCAAAATAACCCTGTTTTTAAAAAAATTTGAATCACCAATGCTACCCTTTACCTTTACCGAGGATATGTTCGTCATTTTTGGGTGCCGTCTCCATTTAGCCCCATATCTCCATTTAGCTAGACAACCCCCAATACCACATCCGAATTGGGAATATGGAGCTGTCTATTTGGGTCCAATTGACATGCAAAATGGAATGTTGGGGGAGTAATTTCAGTAGGCAAATATTGAAAACTCTTCAACCAAACTTGGTCAAACACAATCCTATTTCTCCAATGCCTATCTATTTCATAAGATTGCTCCAACCAAACACAACCTTACTTTTGAAGAAAGGTATTTTAGCAATTCTCTCGAAGTCAACAAAAGCTGCTCTATATCTCAACAATATAATCCCTACATCTCAGCAAGCAATCTTTGTGCAAACCTTATATCAGACCACATACTCAAGAACCAATTGAAAGCTTGTTGCTTCACCATTTGCAGGGACAACCCTCAAAACTGGTCATCCCCTCCACTACAAATACAAGTTTGCTAAACATAAAAAGACATCTTCTACATGAATAAACTTGTTGGTACAAATTCAAGCAACCCCCAATCTATTCGAGTGAAAACGCATGGGTTAAAGCTGTATTAGACCACTTGCGTAGAGGAAGATCATTATGATTAGCTCATATAAAAATGATTCTGATCAAATCAATAGAAACAAGTCATCATTTTTAATAAAGAAAATATGTACATATGCATGCAGTGTTGTTAATTGATAATTTCATTAATATCTTAATGAGATTGTTAAACAGATATAATATAAAAATTCTTAAAAAGGTCTTAACTTAAAAAATTAAGCAATTAGGTTAAATTGTTTTTTTACAAATGAGAATATAGTTTTTCATATTGCATAAGACAAAATTGTCTAATACACACACAAAAGTGGGTGGAACTAGACCATCCATAACCACGAGCTCACGAATTTAATTCTCACTATCCTCATTCTATTAATAAACAATTAAATATAATAAAATTTCTTAACTAAAAATTCAAAGTATCAAAAGTTAACATGCTATGGAAGCGCACCAAAAGGCAACACTCATAAGGACTAATTTAAAGGTCAATCAGATAGTAATCAGCTAATTATTTGGCCATTGATCTTTTGTATGTTAGTTAATTACCAAGAAATTACTGTTAGCTAATTAGTTGAAGGGCTTTTTGTAATTTTAAGGAATATAAATAATCTTTTTTGGTTACGGAAGTCATACAAATTAATCTTTGAAGAGACTAGAAACGTGTGATTGGGGTAAATAAATTTACTGCTGGACAGGATAGGACAAGGGTATGATATAATATGGGGTTGATAAGGGTAGGATATAATATGGGGCTGATAAGCCTATATCATGTTTTGTGTTTGATGATCAGCTGATTAGAAATCTGATAAGATTATGTAGAAGGAGAAAGGAGAAAGAAAAAATAAAATATAATGCAATAAATACAAATATATTGGGTAGCGTGGGGATATATTGGATATCCAGTATTGATATCCTATCCTGTTGAATCCTAACTCAGCTCCCCGATAAAAAATCATGTATTGAATAGGATAAAATGAGACAATAGGATAAGTTAATCATATCTTATTGACCCACCAAACAAGAGACAAAAATAAGATATGATAAGTTATCCTATCATATCTTCTTCTCCCTTATTAGGATTACAAGATGCATTGGAAAAAAATTTAATACAGTAATGGCAATTTGACCACGAAATTTGAACCTATAAAATCATGTAAATGACCCCAATGGGGCTTATAAGATGCGTTGGAAACATTGATGAATAGATGAGTTTGTGGTTGGGGTTGCTGCATATGGACATAGAGATCATAAAGATAAAGTTTTTACACTACTTTTTTTTTTTTTCTTTCTAATTTCTCTTTATCCTTCCATTATAAGGTTTAAAATATTATAGAATGGGGCAATGAAAGATAAACCCCGCATTTGTTCCTTCCAGAAGTGATGCAAGCAATTTCTCTTTCGGGCTCTATATAATCCCTTGCATCCCCCTTCACCTTCTCACACACAAGAACAATTCAAGTTTGACACTTGTTCCTTAGAAACGAAACAGTTTTTTGAGTTAAATATAGAGAAAAAAAAGGGCTAGTTTATTTGTTCTCTTCCCCTATAACCCTCCAACCCATTTCAGAATCAAGAATTAGCATAGTCTGATCCAATTGCAGATTTAAGGAACGGTGATGCATATCAGATTTCATTGATTCTTTGGGTAATATTATAAGGGTAAGGGAGGTGACAGAAGAGAGTGAGCACACATGGTGATTTCTTGGATGATGATGTTTCATGCTTGAAACTATGCGTACTCACTCTCTTCTCGTCGCCCCATCACCATCTTTTTCTTCCTATCCCTTTTCACTTTCTATTACTATATCTGTTTTTCTGTTTCTTCTTTTTCTCCCTTTCCCTTCTCATTCTAGAACTAACCGTAGCTAACAACTAACTAATTAGGCTTGCACAATATGTACATCACTTCTCATATTTTCTATATTTTTCTTATATATATATATATACTTCTTAGCATGCTGTTCTGCAGATGCTGGATGCTGACTAATTAAAGCATCTGGAAAAACCTAGCAAGTGACCTTTTGGTTTACACGGTTAAAAAAAAAAATAGTTTTTGTTTGGTATATCTGATGATATTTATATGAAAATTTTTATTCAATTTTTGTTTGCCCCTAATTTTGAGTTCATACCAAACTATTGAGGGTTTGTTTAATTTTCTTCTCCTTCAGATCTAGAAATCATTCTCTGATCTTGTACTTTTTATAGTTAATACAGTTGATCTGATGTTAGAGTGGAACTTAATTTTGAGTTTTCAGTCTTTTTATGGGGAATTGAAGTTAATAATATTGGTTGTCTCCCTATATACTAGCCACTGTAAGGTTCTAATTAAGGCATATATAGTACTTTATAGGGTCTAAGTTTTTAACACCTGACACTACTTTGCTAAAATTTAAGTTCTCGTTCCTTTCAGGTTATGAGAAGTCTTGATAAGTTGGAGTTCTGTCAATTGAAATCCTTCAGCGGAAGCTTCAATGGTGGGAAATTAAAGCAATGATATGTATTTGCTATTTGAGTTTAAAAGGAAGAGCGCTTAGAGAAGGGGTTGTTGTGGTTGATTTATGTAGTTATAGGCCTCCATGACAAATTAGATGTATGCGTATATTTGATTTTAAAAGAAATGAGTGATGACATGGATGATAAAGATCTATATACAATTATAATATATGTGTTGATCTATATATATATATATATATATATATATATATATATATATATATGTGTGTGCCAGTTAACAAAAAGGCATATATTAATCACACTGATATATACCGCTTGTATAGTTTGCTTATTGAGGGTGAAAGTGCAAAGATTATCCTACTTATTTTAGTGACTTAATTTTTTTACCTCTAGCTGTTTCCAAGGATGCCAACCCTCCAAATATTAACATAAAATGGAAACATGATCAAAAGAAAAACACTGAAAGTAGTTTCCATGTAAGTATGTAACTTCCAGTTCAATCTTTATCAATGGGAGTGTGGTTCTGCATGTCATGAGATCTTTCATCTTTGTGCAGTGTCGATTTATCCGATTAAGCAATTTTTGTAAACAAGTAATATTAATGTGGGAGAGTGAGTAACTTCATGTACCCCATTTAATTATATACTTTTGAATTGAACTCCATCTGCTTCCTTTTCCGCTTGAAGCTAGCATGATTTCTGATTAAACCAATAAACAATAAACCTAGGTTTCGTTAAGCATCCAAATAATAATAATAATAATAATAATAATAATAATAAATATTGTCTCTCAGGTTTCCACATTAATTGTAGAGCATATGTTAGAGTAGAATTTGATTTTTATGTAAATTTTTTTGGTACTACCATTAATGTTCAATCATATTGATGTAGCTACAAGGAATTGGGTCTTACCATACACGATTGAATATGGTCAAAGTTGATAGCTAGTTGAGTGGTGATAGGATTTGCTACGCTTTGTTATGCGGGATGATAACAGGTGGGATGGGTACTTGCTAGACATTGCGATGCTCAAGTCAGTATTTGAGAGATGAGCTTAAGTAGATTGAAAGAAGATAACCATACCTAACTTTGAGTCTTCTCTTAAAGTAAAGACATGATTTGTTTGTTGTCTTGTTATGTTGTCTTAACATGGTGATATGTCTCTAATTCGTAGATTATGGAAGCTTTGTCAATCTACTTCATCTTTGTCAATCTACTTCATATCTGCGAAATGCCTCTTGATAAGCTATGATATCTAGGCTTGGTTGGAATTTCATATCTGTACTTTAGCTATTGGCTATTAAAGAGATTTATAAGTCTTGTGCTGCTTGTGTACTTCTTTGATTGCGTATACACATTTTGTGCGTATTTCTTTACCCACAAGTCTTTATGTTTGGGCATTTGGACCATTATTGAATTGGATCCTTCATGTTTCTTAGTATAGGTCCATATCACATAATTAACAAAATTTAATCCTTCAAATACTTATCATTATAGTTAAACTCTTCAATGATATAAGAATTCACAAATGGACAATGTAAAAAATCTCGTACAAAATAAAACCAATTAAAATATTTCATTAGTTGCTCACTACCAAAAAATATTGCATTCAACAGCTTAAGGTTGATCAAGGAAAAGAAATAGGTTAGTTTTCTTTGAGCTTTTTGCTAACAAATATTGATCTAATATCTCCTTGCAATTTGCACCAACGAAATTTGGACGGTTTCCTTTGCATATACAATCAAGATTAAACAATATAGTTGACTAATATTTAAATAATGGTATTTTCATATTGGAATACTACTCCTCACATTATTGTAATGTAAAGGTAAATTCTAAATATAATGAGCAGCACCAATGCAAATGTGGAACCGAAGAATATGTGCATGCAGCTCAGAATAAATTGCTCATATATAGAAAATGAACATATCTACTAAAGGCTTTTTTAGGTCTTTTTATAACAACAAAATCGAATATAATGCTTCGATATTAATTGGTGAAAAGAAAGTGAATGTGCGAGCGCTGGATTCAATAGCCTTTCTAGAGTGGTCCTTGTTTTCATATCTTTGAGAGGTTTGATCAGCTGCATGAAGGGTGCTTTGGTTTAAAAGACTAATTGGGTAGAGGTACATTCAGCAAGATATGCTCCAAGAACATTTTTAGTGCTATAGTACAATATTTTTAGTACTATATGACAACATAATATAGACGTATCTTGTTTTTATTGATTGGATGTACTGGCTTTTCAGTGTGACAAAATGTTTTCGATACACTTCTTTTGACCACAATGAAAGCAATTAGAAATTTTCTGGTCAGAACTTCTGTAAATAAATGATCGACTTATCTTACATTTGATCTTAAATTCTAAACGAATTTTTCAAAAAAATTCTAACTAACCATGAATGATTCCTCTCAGCAAAGATGTCGAATAAAGTCAAGCCAAAGTAGAAGCAGAAAGTGAAAGAAGAAAAATACATTTTCATTTATGGCCAAAAAGAAAAAAAACTATTTTCATTTGTGTTGTATTCAAATGTGAAATAGCTTGTTGGCATTATTTTTGCTAATGATACAGCTAAAAGTTCAAATGTAAAATTGTCTTACGCTTGTTGGAACTATTTTTGCTAATGATGCAGCTAAAATATTAAGAAAAATCTCCCCTCAAAACAGTAATCAACAATCATAATCACTAAACAAAATGTAGGCCTTGCATTTCCAACCACGTGTTCATATGTATGGCACCCCAAGTGAAGAGCAAAACAATGAAATTTAAAAAGAACAACAAAAATAGGCATAAACAAAACTCTCCTCAACAACCATCCCAGGCTGCCACATAAAATCTACAAATTAGTCCAAACGGATTGTTAAGTACTTAAATGAATCAACTTAAAAATTGTATTCTACTTCTCACTTTTTATTGTAATAAACAGAATAATCAAGAAACCAACTTGCATTCAAGCTAGAGTACTAAACTAAACTTCACTCCTTGCAGAAGAGCAAAATGTTTAATGCAGTACTAGGAAGATCATCCTTTAAACCATTGTCTATGAACCAATTGCCAATAATGCTTTGAGACAAATTAGTTGAAATTCCAGTAGGCCACTTGTCTAGTAATCTAAACCCGAATTGTGCTGCAGCAGAAAGCAAGGTTGGTTCATCTACACGGCGAAAGATATGGCAAAGAATTAGTACAGGAACATTATCATCTTGACTGCTTCCACTGGCAGCAATAAGTTCTTTTGCAGTTGCAAACAAAGGCAATATAGCTTCAGGAATGTATGTCACATCTGTGCCCATTATAACATCAAACCCTATATTATTCACTTCCTTTATGCTTTCTATGTGGTCCCTATTTCCCCATTCCAGTCTTTTTGTAGATAGTTTAGTCAGTAATGGTGGCTCGATATTAGATGCAACATTTTTGGCCAGAAGGTCAAGAGCAAAACCATCTCCATCAGTAGCAACTACTTGATCAGCATACTTAGCAGCAATCATGGAGCAGATTCCCCCACAGCCGCACCCCAATTCCAAGACCCTTTTTCCTGCAACAATATTGGGATTTTCGGCAAGGACAGAAGCCATCAACCGAGCCGATTCCCATAGCATCAAACCCGTTGATTTGCAGGTATGTTGGTACTCTTTTGAAAGTAAACTAATCTTGAAATTCCAGCCTCTAAGGTTGATTTCAATAACCTAGCAGAATAATTTGACTGATGAAAACCATATGTGCATGTAAGAAAATCAACAGTAAAAAAAAAATAAAAAATAAGAAGCCATAATTAGGGGCAATTAGGCTTTTGTTGATGACATAGGTGCCCCTAATTAATCAAAATTGAAACAATAATGAAGGAAAATTAGCCTTCTCAACAGTTATTCAGATTTTGTAGAACATCAAAAATAAGCAGCAACCTCAGATGAAATATGTTCAAATTAAAAACCCAATATTTTTTATGTTGGAACTAAAGAGAAACAGGAACTACCGAGCAAAGTTGAGAAACTTACCTCATACTCACTGGAAGGTAAGACTCCAAACATGTCAGCTGCCACACCCTCAGACAAGTCAATTGCTGAGTCATTTAAACCACCATTCGAATTATTTTGCTTGATTTCCTTAGCAATATTATCAGTATCAAGATGATTGGCCTCATCTTCTTTATAGGAAGAAGAGTTGGAACCATCTGAAACGCGAAATACAGCTTGGACCCAACGCCTGAAACCACCAAACAAAGGAGAATAAAAAAGAATAGCTACAGTCAAAAGAAGTTTGGGGGGAAAAAAAAACTTTTAAGCAGTCGATGAAGGGGAAAAAATGAAATATTAAAACCTAGACCCAGAGAAGTCCAAGAGAGCATCTCATACGTTAGATTATCACAAGCAAAAATACAAATCTTACAAAAAAATTACATTACTATATAAAAATGAACAAAAGGAACTGGTGATAATGATATAATATATTACCGATTCATTATCAACTCCCTTGAGCGGTTCTCAACTTGTTTGCAGCAAACATCAAGTTTGTGAACATTGAAACCATTTTCTATGAATAAATTTGTCAAGAACTCATTTGAAAAATAGTAGGCACGCTGGATAGGAAACAAAATAAGTATTACATTACAAAAGTTGAATCTCATGTTAATTAAGTTACAAAATAACATGGCCAGAACTGAAAACTTACAGTGCCATCACCTCTAACATAAAAGTCATCACTAATCTTTTGATCTTTGCCAGAGAATCTTTCCTAAGGAACATAAAAATAGATATACAAATCATCAAATTTCTCAATCAAAAAGAAATCCATAAACCAAAATTTGGAAGTCAAACAGTTTCCCTTTCCAACAAATGAAATAATAAAATTGAGATGGTATTTTGTTTGATGATTCACCATATATATTCTAGCTAAGTAGCCCAACAGTTTTACATTAAAGATGCTTGTATAACTCCAGATAGGATAAGATCACCACAATCATAAAAAAAACCAGCCTATTACCAAGTGTGTTTGGATTGGCATTCATTCCAGCCAAAATCAGGCTGAAGAGGCAAAGGTGCCTCAATTGCTGAGATATCATGTTTGGGAAGAAAATGTTAATGTGATTCTAGAGCCCAAAATGAGGTTTGGCAAGAAGCAACTAATAGTCGCTCTTCCAGCAGCCAAAATCACATTAAGCATGTGGAATCAATTTTATACAGAATCAATTTTACAAACTCTAAATCCGAACACACTATTCATCTCCCTAACCCAACGAAAGAAAGATTCTCATAGCTACAAGTACAGACATTAATTTTTAAATCACTTTGATATTAAAATTGTAAGAATATTTGGATTCTTCCAGTCATCAGAGACAAATAATTATGAGAAGAAAATTATCTGGGTAACAATTGTGCCCCAGACAATTTTTTATCAGAAGATTAAAAAGATAAAGTACAACAAAATCAACCTGAGCAAGGTCTCCAGTAGCATAGTCTCGGAACAGCACATATCCATTTGGCTGCAAATGGAGAAAGGGTTCACACATAAACAAATTATCTAGCTATGTTTCTGAAAAATGTAACAAATTCTGTAATAAATACAACAATTTCTTACCTTGATAACTCTTCTAACATTTTGCAAAACTAGAGGCATCTTTTCTGGAGACACTGCAGATAACATAAATATCTGCTTACCATGTCAGCTACTTAAACGAGATATATAACTAATTCTCAATAATAAGAGCACAAAAGTTTTCAAAAAAATAAGGTAAGAAAATGATAGCTTGCAGCAAACAAAAGCAAATGTGATCCCATAATCACTCTACATAAAATTCAAACATTATTAATGCCTTTCAGAATTTCAGATACCATTGTAACAATATCAACTGAAGATGGAAGCATCTCTTTGCACAGATCATCAGCTGTCAAATCTGAGACAAAAGCGTTAACATGGGACTCCTTGAAGTCTTCATGCATCTGCGATAAAGAAGACAATTTAATTCTTGTTAGATGTATACAAACAAAAAGAAATACTTTTCTTTATTTTATACCAGAAGAGATAAGCAATACAAACTCATTCCTTTTAAACCAACATACAGTGCCCAATCTTATCAAAAGAGAAATAAGAAGTTCCATCCTAAGCCCCAAAGTTAGTTGAATCATGGCAAAAGACCACCACGTGGTGCATTCTAAAGGGACTGAAGTTGCAATATTCTACCTACATCCTAATGGATAAACTGTCTCTCAAACACTGTCTACAAGTACAAGAGGTAGCTTCCACAATTTATTACTATAATGCGGCATCATTTAGAAGGGTATCAACCATCAAAGACCATTAATTGGGAAAGGCTTCTCCAAAGCCTGTCTATTTGACACAACATGATTTAGACCAATGTTACTGAGACTAGTGTGGATTTACATTTCTCTGCATCATGAATCTTACCAGAAATATTTACATCAATGGATCAAGATTGAATCCAGAAGCATACAGCCAAGTCAAGTCACCATGCAAGCACATATATAAACAGATGATGATTGGACAAAGAGTTTACAAAAAGGAGATTTTCAACCTTAACCAGCTCAATAGCTCGTGGCGAGAAATCACAGGCATAAACAAAAGCATCTGGATAAGATGCTATCACAGGAAAGATAGTATTTCCAGCTCCACAACCAGCCTGTTCAGCAAACAGCATCTCTTATTACAAAACTTACTAGACCAAGGACCTCCAGGAGAGGAGCATAAATAGAAAAAATAAACTTCATTGATGAATAACCATCACAAATCTCACAAATAATGAATAGCAGAGAAGACAAATGAAGTGGGAAGGTTCTATCTCCGTGAACATACTATGTTTCACACAGAACTTAAGACCAGAAAAATTGTTTTACATTAATCCAATTGAAACGTTGTGGCATGCATATATGCTCCACATTATTATTGAGTCATTTATATGATAAACTACTAATGCGGGCAAATATACCTCCAAAATCACTTTTCTTCCTCCTCCCTGAAAATCGAAAATTACTTGAATCATTAGTATAGCTAGCAACACATTGAAAAACAAAATTCAAATTAAGAATTAAGATATCATTTCCTTTCACTCACAGAAAAGTAAGCGCCCCATTCCTTATCCAAGTAGTGCCGATCTTTGAAAAACTGAAGAAAGGCATCATCACTAAAGTCAAATTACATATATCAAATGCCTTGAAAAAGAAATAGAGAGACTTAAAAATCATTTAAAAAAAAAAAAAAAAAGTGGTAAGTGATCCGGTTATAGCAAAAGACAATTCAAAGATAAGTTGAAGTGAAGCAGCAGTATTGAATACACACCCGTCAGCAACAAAATTTGCATTAACAACAGAGAATAGGCTAGTTTAGTTCATGGGGATTCTTGATAAGTGATAATCTAACACACGTGCACGAGTTACAAACACAAGAATTGGAAAAACTAACTCTGTCCTTGTGGCGCTTGTAGAACACATCCCAATACCTCTTGGCTTCTCTTTCATACTTTTCTGTAAACAAAAACCAAAAATTTAAAACTTTTTTTTTTTTTTTTTGGGGAGGAATTGTAAGCAGAAACATGAGAGAGAGAGAGAGAGAGAGAGAGAGAGAGAGACCTCTCCAAAAGGGGGAGACCCCAGTATTTGTATTGGAGTAAATTTGCAACCTTTGAGTTTGGGGTGGTAATTTTTGCTCCCCAGAATCTTGTGTACCTGATGCCATTGCCCTCCCAATTTTGGGGTTTAAATTTGTACACAAGGGAGTGTTGGTACAAGTGAGATCAAGCATTTGTTTGAGTGAAATTGTAGAAAGAAGACCCACTTATACAAACACTTCAACCCATACATTGTCTTTCTTCCACCATTGGTGTTTATCTCTAAATATGTATTTCCGCTACGTTTTATTTATCTTCTTGGTGCTTAAATTGCATTTTTTTCTTTTTTTTTCTTTTTAAAATTTTTTTAGAGAAATAAAATGTATTATTTTTAAATTTATTTTAATGTATAGAGATGGTCAATAACTAAGAAAAGCCTTCGAGGATTAAAAAAAAAAAAAAAAAAATTAGCAACTTTTAATGTCATTCACAATTAATTTTGAATAACATATTATTGATTTTGTGACTTTGAAGAATGAAATAAATTTTTGTGCATATTTAAATATTGGGAAATATTTTTCTTATGTTGTAGGAAAATAGTTATCTTATGTTGTAAAAATAAAATTATAAGTCGGACCCATAGATAACAGGAGAGAAAAAAGTGGTGGGACCCAACTCTTTTTTTTGTGTGTAGGAAAGTTGTTTAACTTAAAAGAAACGGGTATTTGAAATATTATTGAATTGTGTATAATCTGTACAAAAGGTTCTCTATTTATAGAGAATACTTGACCTAATTTTGACCTAATGGGCTTGGCCCAATACAACAAATAAATGACTAAATAATTATTATTTACAACACTCCCCCTCAAGCTGAGGAATAGATATTTATCATTCCCAGCTTGCTAGTAAGTTCTTGAAATCTGTCTGAAGGAAGCCCCTTTGTTAATAGATCAGCTAATTGACGCCCAGTGGGAATGTATGGAGTGGTAATCAACCCGCTATCAAGTTTCTCTTTGATGAAATGGCGGTCGACCTCAATATGTTTAGTCCGATCATGTTGAACTGGATTATGAGCTATACAAATAGCGGACTTATTATCACATAGCAGCTTCATAGGTCCCTCGCATTTTATTTTGAGATCATCAAGTACAATTTTCAGCCACAGTAACTCACAAATGCCTTGAGCCATAGCTCGAAATTCAGCTTCTGCACTTGATCTAGCAACCACATCTTGTTTCTTACTTCTCCATGTCACCAAGTTACTGCAAAGAAACATGCAATAACCAGTGGTAGAACGACGGTCAGTCACGGATCCAGCATAATCAGCATCTGTGTAGACTTCTAAAGATAGATTGCCATCACGTCAGAATAACAATCCTTTACCAGGAGTACCTTTAAGATACTGAAGAATTCTCTCTACTGCCTGCATGTGTTTTTCCTTTGGATCGTGCATAAACTGACTGACAACACTAACAGCATAAGCTAGGTCTGGTCTAGTATGGGCTAGATATATCAATTTCCCAACTAGCCGTTGATATTGTCCTTTATCAACTGGAGGACTCTCTTCTTCATAACCCATCTTGTGATTCTGCTCAATAGGAGTATTAGAGGGTTTACACCCGAGCTTTCCTGCTTCTTTGAGAAGATCCAAAACATATTTCCTCTGGCTGATAAAAATTCCTTTGCTTGAATGAGCTACTTCTATCCCTAAGAAATATCTCAGTTTCCCAAGGTCTTTGATTTCAAACTCAGAGGCAAGCCGTGTTTGCAGAATCTGTCTCTCCACAAAATCATCACCTGTGATAATAATATCATCAACATATACAAGGAGCACAGTAAGCTTCCCATTTTGGGAGTGCTTGAAGAAAAGAGTGTGATCTCCTTGACTATGTCTGTATCCTAATGTCATCATAACCTTAGTAAACCTACCAAACCAAGCACGAGGTGACTGCTTCAATCCATACAAGGCCTTTTTTAATCTACAAACTTTATTTTCCCCCTTCACAGAATCAAAACCAGGCGGGATTTCCATGTAGACTTCTTCTTCTAACTCACCATTGAGGAAAGCATTTTTCACATCAAATTGATTTATATCCCAATTGTAATGGGCAGCAAGGGATAACAAGATTCTCACTGTATTCATCTTTGCAACTGGAGCAAAGTTTTCTTCATAATCAATGCCATAGGTTTGAGTGTAACCTTTGGCCACTAATCGAGCCTTGTATCTCTCAAGAGTGCCATCAGAATTATATTTCAGGGCATAAACTCATCTGCACCCTACTGCTTTTTTTCCGTTGGGTCTATCAATAACCTCCCATGTTTTATTTTTCTCTAAAGCATTCATCTCCTCTTGCATGGCTTGAGCCCAATTCCTATCTTTCAAGGCTTCATGTACTGATTTTGGGATTGCAATAGAGTCTAGTGCTGAAACAAAGCTTTTGTGCTGCAGAGAAAGATTAGCAGAGGAAACAAACTGGGAGATAGGGTATTGAGTACAAGAGGGACAGGAGGGACAAGATTTCTTGGGACAAGCTCTTTTTCCTTTTCTAAGAGCAATGGGTAAATCATCAGAATCAGTAGTAATGGGTAAGTCATCAGAAGTATTAACATCATGATCAGAAATATGAGATTCAGGACTTACCAGTGGTTCAGACGATTGAGGTTGCTGCTGAGACAATGCGGGTTGTTTCCTTCTTTCAGGTGTCATAATCTTTCGTATCTCTGGTGTACTTGATGTATCAATCACAGGAGAATCAGTCACAGGAGGATTACTCACAAGAGGATCAGACACAGGAGGAACAGGACCAGGTGGAGGATACACTGACATAGGTAAAGGAGCAGACACTGATGATTCAAACTCAAGGAAGGGAGGTGATGAGATTTCTGGTGAAGGATTCTCCCCCTGAAGATGAGGACCTTGGAAAAAGGACTCAGATTCCTGAAATGTAACATCCATAGAAACAAAAAATTTCCTACTACTAGGGTGATAGCACTTGTAGCCCTTCTTATCAGGAGCATAACCAAGAAAAACACATTTAATAGCAGTAGGGTCCAACTTACTGCGATGATGTTTATGAACATGAACAAAAGCAACACACCCAAACACACGTGGAGGAAGACTCATCATAGTTGGAATAGAAGGGAAAAAAGAAGTCATAGAGTGAATAAGACTCACATGGTCAAGTACCCGAGTGGGTAAACGGTTGATCAAGAATGCTGCAGTAAGAATAGCATCTCCCCAATAGTATTTGGGTACATGTGTCTGAAACATTAATGCACGAGCCACTTCAAGAAGGTGACGATTTTTTCTTTCAGCAACCTCATTCTGTTGGGGGGTGTCAACACAAGTAAGTTCATGAATCATACCGTTATTTCTTATAAATTGGGAAAAGCTGTGATTAACATATTCAGTACCATTATCTGTTCTTAGTCTCTTGATTTTTTTCCCAAACTGGGTCTCAATCATTTTATAAAACTGAAAGAACAGTTGTGGTACCTCAGACTTTTCACGCATTAAGTACACCCAAGTTACACGAGTGCAATCATCAATAAAAGAAACAAACCATCTATTTCCAGAAGCATGAGGGACTTTAGAGGGACCCCAAACATCAGAATGAATAAGATCAAAAGGTTCAACATTCTTAGTAATACTAGAAGGAAAAGACACACGATGATGCTTGGCAAATTCACAAACATCACAATGAAAAGACTCAACAGATTTAGACAAAAACAATGACGGAAATAAAGATTTAAGTAAACTAAATGGAGGATGACCTAAGCGCTTAAGATGAAGCCAAATCAAAGAATCAGCAGTTGATTGACCATGAGACATCAAGATGTGATCTGTTACTTTATTTGCAGGAGATTGTGACACCAGATAGTACAGCCCATCTTGCTCTTTAGCACTACCAATCGTCTTCCAATCTTTTGTAATTTTATGAATAGAAAGAAGATTTGTGGAGAGTTTAGGAACATGAAGAACATCCTTAAGATGTAAGGACTGCTGTAAGTTTATGTCACCAGAACCCGCAACTGATGTATGAGAGCCATCAGCTACGACTATTGTATGAGTTCCAATGGTATGATGATAAGAAGTAAAGGAGTCAGGACAACAAGCCATATGATCAGTAGCACCAGAATCAACAACCCAAGAATGTTTAAAATCATTACATGAAGAAAGGAAAGAATAAGTTTTGAAGGTCATACCAGTCATAGTCAAAGCACTAGTATCAGATGGCTTACTCATAGAGTCAAGAATGGTTCGGAGCCGTTCCAACTCATCTGGACGAAATGCAGGTTGGGTCTCATTAGGTGCAGAAGTTATTTTAGTAAAATGTGGTTGACCACGCAACCTTGCCATCTTTTCTAAGACAGTTTGCTTTCCATAAAGGCGAAAGCATAAATCCCTGATATGACCTGTTCTTTTACAATAAGAACACCATCGATCATCTCTCTTAGGTCTAGAAGAGGTACCATCATAAAATTTTGAAAAAGAACTCCTTTAAGAAGAGGCCATACTGCACAGAAAATGGTCAAAGAAAAACTCCAAGAAGCCAAAAAATCAAAAAACATATACCAAACGACGTCCGATCTGAGAGGAGAGCACAGATCCAGAAAGAGGATGAAGAGAAGATCAGAAAACTTTTTGGCCGGAGCTGGAAAAAGTGGCCCACGCGCCTCCACGCGCCGGTGGAGGTGTCTGCGAGTGGGCCTCACTCACCGGGAGTGTGGCGGCACGTGAGAGCGCGTGCGGCGGCCGCCGGAGCTGAAATTTCGGTGGCGAGGTCGTCCGACGGTCTCGAACCTTTCTGTGGTCGGTCGGAGTTGAAAGGTCACCGGAAAAGTGTCCAAAACGCGATGAACAGTAGCGGCCTTATGTTGTTTTGGGAAGATCCGGTCGTCAAACGATTATAACACGTCCGTAAGCTGATAGATCAGAGAAAAAGGATTTGAAAACTGGTCCTCTTGGTCCAAAAGGTCCACCGGAAAAATTTTCCGGTGGCAGCGGCTAATGGCGGCAAGAGGCTAAGAAAAAAGGTTTCTGTTTTAACGGAGGTAATTGCGAAAGCAGAGCCCTCTGGATCGAGAGCTCTGATACCAACTTGAAAGAAAAGGGTATTTGAAATATTATTGAATTGTGTATAATCTGTACAAAGGGTTCTCTATTTATAGAGAATACTTGACCTAATGGGTTTGGCCCAATACAACAAATAAATGACTAAATAATAACTAAATAATTATTATTTACAACA